ACACACCACACACACACACACACACACACACACACAGAGACACACACACAATAACACACACACACACACACACACACACACACACACACACACAGACAGCCTGCAATCACAAATGCAAAGACAGGGAGAACGAGAGCGGGTCTGGGTCTGAGCCAAATCCTTTCCACGTGATTAAATAAAAGAAAGATAACCTACACAACATTCCTCTCAATTATGACTTTCCTACCACAGACTGGTGGATGTGGCACCTAGTCGCAACCCCCATCCCTCACTCGCCAAACCCTGACCCACGTTATGATACTCCAAGCTCCCAGCCTCAAACAAATATGACGTCTTTCATATTTTATGACAACAAAAAGGTGCAGAGCAGAAAGGAAAGCGCGTCTGGCACGGCTAGGGAGGCTACATTTGAGAAAAAAAATTCAGAATATAAGTTTAGCAGACCTCTGGGCAATAATTGCGCTTACCTTGTCATTTTGATAAGCGGTCACAGCAATGAAATCCGTTTCAGGAAAAACATAAGTCCTGAAGGTACTGTACGGGAGTTTGAGAATATCGTTGGCCCTCACAATGTGAAACCGGGGCTGATATTTGTGCATCGAGTTAAGAATGGTCTGCAACACACACACAGTCACAACCATGAGCAATTATAAAAGGCTCACAATACAAAGAGATTTGTTTATTCTGTGTTACTTTTTAGGATCGCTAGTTTGTTAAAACATAAGCTCTCTTCGTATTAAAATAGACAAATCGAGCCATATCTGCACTAAAACAAGTTTAAATGTCAAGCTTAATACTTGCAATAAATAAAAAAAAAACTCTTACAAAATATCTCAACATGACCACGTTTGACATTTTTATTTTTGTAAACGGGTCTTTTAGGTGCTCATTTAAAAAAACAAACAAACAAACTGTACTAAAATAAAACAATCAATTTTAAATCATGACGACATGTGTTTACTAAAGCGGTAAGTTGATAAATAGGGAAATTGACATACATTAGTTGAACTTACAAATCCATGCTTGTCAGAGATGTTATTTGTCAGCTTGAGCTTGTGAAAATTGACGACTTTTGACATCCACTGTTCACCAGTAGCCGGACTGTCCGGGTGAATGTACATCCTCTTTGGCATTTCGGGGTCGGCCTTTCCTGCCACCATCCAGCGGGAGTTATGAAATTTGTACCTGCAGTCGTCGGCTGCAACTATATCCATCAAGAGTATGTACTTTGCCTTCTTGTCCAGACCAGTGCACCTCACTTTGAACGGAGGGAACATCCGCCTGTGACAGAACAAAAATATATTATGAACACGAATGCGTTACAAAATAAATCACGGGGTAAAATATCAAACGATATTTTAAAAAACACAATGTTTTTTAGGTACACGTAAATAAACTAAGGTCTAGATTTTAAGAAGTGTATTACACCGCTATAATCTCAGTGTGACAGCCTGCTATTAATTTATGTAAGTATGTGTTGGTAAACAAATATATTATGAGTATAAACTCTCCAATTAATAAATGATGTCTTGATTCTTAATGTCACGAAAGGCCTACACACACACACACACACACACACACACACACACACACACACACACACACACACACAATAAGATTACCGTGATGATAAAATTAATTTAGTCAGAGCTCTATGAGCCACTTTAATAGAGTATTCTGACAACAGAAAATTTAGATAAAAAGGGCAGTGGGTAAAAAAAATATTATCAAGCCATATTTTATATCATAAGCTGTGTATAGATCTTTCAAAACTAATGAAAGACAAGGTTTAATATTAATAATTCATGAGTTGCATGCATAATCCCTTTTATTTTATGCGAGTGTATGCTGTTTTCCACCAATAAACACGTCCTAGTAAAGTGTCTTTGCAGGCTGTGTGAACACGAAAATTTACACTGTAGCTACAGATGGTCTCTTTATTTTCCAAGCGAGAAATAGATATCAGAAATGGCCGATCTTTGCTGTTTTACTCTATAACTAAAAAAAATGCAGTTTCAGCGTTATATTTGTGGCATATTTAGACTGAAATGTCAACGTAACCAGTTGAACTTAGAGGAGTGTAAAGGCTTTTTTATTTAATTTAATAACTGTACAGTACTCTCTGTATATAGTAACCATTGTCCTTAATGTAAATATGTAAGAAAAATTGTGTATGTTTCTGTTCTGTGTCCTGTGTGTTTGCTTGTATATGTGTCTTTTTGGCTGCTGTTACAACCAAATTTCCCCTTGTGGGACAATTAAAGGATTATTCTATACTTGTTCTTCTAAAGCAATTGTAGTAATTGTAATGTATCTGTGTGTGTTCAGGCTATGACATAACATCCCACATTTTGATCACACACAACAGGATTCTGCGTTGTTGTTGTTGTTTTTTAAATTATTTGAATAAACACAAAAACATGTTTCACCTTCCGGATTTTGTGATCACCATCTCAGTGCCCTTCTTGTGGAAGAGTTCCCAAAGCTCCTTGGCTTCCAAGTGAACTTTTGGGTCGTCCTCCACCTCTTCCTCAGGCTCTAAAGTCTTCAGAGGCCTGAGGTGTGCGGCAGCAGCCTGATGTCCCAGCGAGGAGAAGTGGAGGCCGGTCTCCGCGGCTCCCATCAGCTGGTCCATGATCGGCTTTCCAAGGGCGCCCGGCAAAGAGAGGGAGCCGCTGGGAGGGAGAGCCAGGGCCGGGAAGAAGGGAGGCTGGTGACCCAGCATCGCACTCATGGCAAATTCCGGACCCCGGTGAGGTATAAACGGATGATATGCCATACTTGATCCTTGTATGACTGGATCTCTCATCAGGAAGTTCATCCAAGAGCAGGCAACAAACGTAGACGACTGGCTGGATTGAAAGCAATACTTCTTAGAACACTAAGGCTCGCGTATGACAGAGCCAAATGATGGCAAAATAAGAAGCAAAAATCAAAACAAATCTGGAGTTGGAAAGCTTTTTGGAAATTCCTCCTTGAACTCGACGAGAACAAGCATCCACTATTTTTTCCCAAGTTGCCGGGAAATCTCTGCAGTCATTTGCCGAATCGTTGGTCAAAAGTCTGCAAAGTGAAATGTACAAGTGCTCTCCATTAATCTTCAAGAGTGCTGCCAGGCCGATTTTCTTCGGAGGTTAACGCGCATTGGACAACTTTCTGCGTCTTTCGGACATTAGTCGAATTAAACCGAGTGAGGTGAGTCACTTAATTGACTGCGGTGCATTCCTTCTCTTCTGCTGCTGTTTACAATATCGGCATTCCTGTTAAAATGGGTTCCCTCTTATTGGCTTCAGTCCTGCAGCGAAAGCGACGTGTTGAAATATTTCGATAGCGCCGAATAATCCCCCTGCCTTTACTCGCTCCGGACATGTACCCTCACACGCGCGCACACACTTTATTCCTCCTCTCCCTTTCACGCACACACACATTTCAGGGAAAGACGTGTGCAAAAGAAAGGAGTCCGCTGACGGCCAGCGAGAGAGAGAGAGAGAAAGAGAGGTGGTAAGGTCCCAGCTCCGTGATTTTCCTAGCGCCTCTGTGGCCCATAGGGCTTCATACTGTATGGATGTGTATGCAACAGAGAGTAGCAGCGCTCGGTTTGATTGGCTCTTTGACGCTTTCGGACCAATTGTGTGGCTGCGTGGGCGTGGTTTTAACAGGTCGGGTGGAGGGGACAGACTTCAGACTTATAAAAAGGTGTTTGGAAACTAAAAAGGGCTTTGCCGTGAAACACCACCCTGCCTCAGCCAGTGTTGTGTGAATATGTCAACATCGTTATAGAACTTGCGCTATTGGTCGGCGTGTGAGACCCAGCGAAAGGGAGAGAGCAGACAAGCCAAGCCGGGAGACCGGCTCGCTTTGTCGGCCGGTTGTTGTGTTGCGCTGCTGAATTCCTTCTCTGTCCCATTCCCCACCGTATCACCGTGTTTTCTTTTTTCTTTTTGGTTTGAATACCACGAAGACTGTCCTGCTGGGTTATAATCAGATTTATGTCATAATTTAATATAACAATTAAATTTTTTCACTTCGCAGTTTACAGAGTCTGCGAGCACAGATTTATCAGCACCGGAAAACAGAGGAACATTTCCAGTAACGACCTCCTTTGAAATCAAAGTTCAGGAAAATATGACCGGGTTACGGATGAAGCGCTCTATGATAAGCTCCTGACAGTAATGTAACGTTAGGCGAATATTATGACACCTTTGAGGCTTTCGCTAACAGTTATTTTAACTTGAATTAGTTTATTAGGCTATTTATTTTATTTTGATTTTTAAAAATTTGAAAGCTCACGGGTGTAAGGTGTGTTCATTTTTTTTCCATTTATTATCTCCCTAGATTATACTCCCTACAGTGAGGTCTTCACTTCCACTTTTCCTCATCAAGCCATGTTTGGATTTGACTCGGTGTGAGAGAAGCGTGCTGTACATATGATGTGGAAATACATTATTTTGATGAGCCAGTGAATATAAATATTTTCATTTCGACTTGAAATGGGTTTTATTTAACAGCCAAGTTCATCTTTGCTGAGGCTCATCCCGTATCACAAGTTTGCGCACAAATACCCAGAGGAGCACAGTTCGGGGAGGATGTGCTCACTTGTGCTACTGCATTATCACTTCCCCAACAAAACGTCTATGTTTTGAATCATAGCCTACCAATCAATTCTCTTGTTAAATATAGCACACTTTCCCGGCACAACTGTCTCTGGGAAACAATTCCGTTATAGCCTGCCTCTGCAAAATGACAGTTGCTCACGCTGGATAACCAACTAGGTGTTATTGATAATGCACGGGTATTTTTTTAAGCTATCTGAGCCAGTGTTGTTCCTGTTACACCCGTACAAGCTGTCATAACCTATTTTCCATAACCGCTATAGCCTAAGGTCCACAGTGCACTTCCATAACGGTAACATGCAGTATGCGCCTATTAACAATGCTGATATACTTATAAGATGCTTAAAAACGCCAATTAGAAGCAGCTCATTAGTCGGTGCAGTGACAGTTTTTTCTGCACAGCGTCGAAGTGAACCCAAGACAAAGCCACGCTAGTGCTCTCCAAAATGCAATTTAACCACTAATTCACAAGTAAACTAGAGTGCAGTGGCCAGTCAGCAGCCTTGGGCAAACATTGACCATCAATTCTCAGTCATTTGTCTGTCTCCATGGATCCAGGCGGGGACCGCGTGGATCTGAGAGTCCTTGAGGGAATGAGCAAATTCTTACAAAAATCAACAGGGATGTAGTGAATTATGATGATTCTGCATGCACCATTCTGAATATTTTGACAACGTGGAAATGTGGCCTGTTTGTCGCACACTGGTTGTTAGAATTTGTAAAAGCTTGCACTGAATTGAAAACAAAAGCGCTCGTGCTCGCAAGTATCAGTGTGAGACCACCGCGCGCATGTTGTGCAGGTTTTTGTTTATTGTCGGTCGGATGTCCTCTTCATCATAAGTATTGTTAGGCGCTGTCTTAGAAACCTGCCCCTCTTGCCTGTGTAGATACTGTATACAAGTACGTAAACTGGAGTGCATGCATATATACCCCCAGGAGATGTACTCGGATGTGGCGTATTTTCTCTGTTATTGATTTGCTATAGAAAACAAATGCGCCACTATTGATAAGCTCCAGCAACTTCTGACTGAATGGAGATCTTACAGAACACCTGGAGCTAAGTAGCTAAACAGTGCGTGCAATGTCCAGCATTAAGGTGCTGTTTTCTATATGAGAGCTTGCAGTCATCTCTTTGTGTAAGAGAGGTCAGGTCTGTGTCAGTTACTGGGGCTTATTCTTCTTTAAACACTTGCCCCCATTAGCGGCACATTTCAATTTAGCGCAGGGTGTCATCAAATAGGAAGCAGTGTTGACACTGTGGCAGCCTTCCAGGCTATGTGGCCAAGCTGCCTTCATTAGCTAAGCAAGTAGGGAATGGTCAATACTTATAAACTTTTACAGGGTTAGGGCTCTCAGGGACTTCAGGAGGCTATAAAAAGGACTGAGCTGACACAACTGATTGATGAAGCCAACTTTGTCAGCGCTTCCCTTTTGTACAGAGATCATGCATATCAAAATCAGAAGGGGTAGTATATTTGACTGGACAGCCTCTAAAATTTCTCACTCCACGTGTGTGGGTGGGTGTGTGGTTTGCGTGATTTCGGGCAGCTTCGGGGATGGCTTGTGTTTTAAAGCTGCCATGCTGTACTGTCCACACAGTTTACGGAAATGATCCTTGAACGATGTGACTTAAGATTCTTGGAAAAAAGGTAGAGAAGAAGAAGAGAAAACTACAACCACTCTGTGTTTTTATTACTTTATTTTATTTTTGTTTATATTCCTTTGCAAGCCTTAAAATATTATCAGGGATGAAAAAACCTGCACTGATGTCATGGGTTATGAAGCTTTCATTGCTTAACTACACAGAGCAGCTACACTGTGTAGGTTCATTAAGCAAAGCTTCAAAGACATTCCTGGAATTGATCATGGAGCTGCAAGTGATGTAATGTATGCTGTCCTGTTTATTTGCAGATTGTTAATGATAAGCAAGGACAGACTTGGTGGCACCACTCCTGGATAGAGGAGATTGTCTGGTGAGAATCATCAGCCTTAACAGAACATGATAGGAAAAGGAAACATCACAAGATTGGTGTATCCAAGAAGTATAATGACCCCAAACTTCATTATGTGCACCCCAACAACAAGCAGGGGGGGGGGGGGGGTGTCAATTAACAGCATAATGACTCTCTGAATACAAACCATTTACCTCAGACATTTCGGTGGGGCTAAAATTGATTAACCAAGACCATATTGCCTCCCAAAAAGAGTGCAGACTCTAAATTGCATAGCCAGAATAACACAAATGTTTTAGTCAATTGGCTGGAAGATTGATAAGCTCTTTACCTGTTGATGAAATGTCCATGTCAATCATTTTTTGTCAAGTCAACCCTTGCTCTCATCAATTCTTCCAATGGCCAGTTATGGGTATTGATTGAATACAATTTTAGTTAATTAGAGGATGTGCCTATTGATAGCAAAGCATTTACTACAGGCTGACTAAGGAAAATGTTATTTTTGAAATTTTATCTTAGGGAGATATTTGCTGTTTTTGGTTAAGGTTGTTAATCAGCAGTGATGCAGGCTCATAACATTTACCTTATTACCACACAGTTAACGATGAAGCAGCTGGAAGATGGGGGGGG